CAGGGTTTTTTTGTGAGTTGCTTCTAAAAGGCGAATTCTGGAGGTGAGGGTTTGGATTTGTTTCATCCTCTCCCTCTTGATGGTGGCCGCTAGTGAAATGAATCGTCCTCTGATGAAGCACTTGTGTGCCTCCCAGGTGATCAAGGGAGATGTTTCCCCGTTGGCATTAAAGGTGAAGTATTCAGTCAGTTCAGTAGAGAGCGCTGCGACATGGGGAAGTTCCTTCAATAAGGAGGGGTTCAAACGCCATGTTGATTGTCTAAGGGTCGGTGAGGCGATATTGAGGGTAGCGGAGATCGGGGCGTGATCTGAGGAAACTATATTCTCTATTGTGGAAGCTATAAGTCTGGGCAGGTCAGATTGTGACACGAAGATATAGTCTATACGTGAATATTTGGAGTGTATGTGCGAATAGTAGGTGTAGTCTCTTTCGGTTGGGTGGAGTGTCATCCAGGTATTACACAGGTGTAGTTTGGCAAGGTGCTTTTTCAGAAATTTGAGCGTCCGGTATGGTAGGGAGGAGTGTTTGTCGGAGGTATCAAGTAGTGGTTCCAGCGGGGCATTAAAGTCTCCTCCCACCACCAGAACCCCTTCAGCAAAGTCGGAGAGGCGAGAGATAAACCTGCTCAGGAACGAGGCATGGGGTTTTTTAGGCGAGTACACCGACGCAATTGTGACAGGGGTCTGGCCTATCAGACCTTTCAGGGCTAGATAGCGCCCTTCAGGATCTTTGAGTTCCTCCTGCAGTATAAAAGGGACATGTTTGTGAATGACGATTGAAACACCTCTCGATTTGTTGGAAGGTGACGAGGCATGGAAAGACGAATGAAAGTGGTGGTTAGCGAGTCTGGGGATCTTGTTATGTTTAAAGTGCGTTTCTTGGAGTAGAGCAATGGAGGCTGACTGTCTGGAGAGGTCTCCAAGGATGGATGATAGTTTCATTGGTGCATTGAGGCCCTTCACATTAAGGGAGACTATTTTATTGTCTTCGTCGCGTCTGGGTGGCATGGTGTAGGTACGGGAGTTAGATGCGGATGATCTTTGTTTCTTGGCGTTTCTGTGATCCTGTCGATCTGGCGGAGAGGTTTGTTGTAGTGGCGGCGTGGTTGGGCGGAGCGGGGATCTTCTTCGGTCCTGCGTTGTAAGAGATGGAGGCTTCAGATCATCATACCAGTCCTGAATGGCGACTGGGAGGAGATCCAGTAGGGAGCAGAAGGTGTCCAGGTAATCTGGGGTGCGTAAGAGAGCCGTTTTACCTCTATGAGTGGCCGACGGGCAGAAGGGGAAGCGTCAGCGGTACACGATGCCGTGGTGTCGCAGGCAATCAAGCAGGGGGCGGAGGGCTCTCCTTTGCTGCAGTGTATGCACTGAGAGATCTTGGAACAGTTTCACCTCCGTTCCGTCGTGGAATACAGCGCCTCTGCGTCTTGCTTTTTGTAGGATTTCTTCCTTCAAGGGGAAGCTCTGTAGGCAACAGATGACATCACGAGGGGCTTCCTCCATCGCTGCCCGCGGTTTAAGCGCTCGGTGTGCGCGTACAAATTCAATAGGGGAATCCAGGGGTCGTTCCAGTAAGTCGTTGAAGAGCCTTAGGAGGGACGCTGGGACCATATCAGGTAGCAATGACTCTGGGAGGCCTCGGACGCAGATATTGGACCTACGGCCTCTGTTGTCCAGGTCTTCAAGCTGCCTCCGCATGGTGATGAGGGAGTGAGATGTGACGACTTGTTTGGATTGCAGGGTGCGTATTTCCCTATCTCTGTCGGCACCCGCCCGTTCCACTACATGCAGGCGGAGGCCTATATCCTGAATGTCTCTGCGAAGCTCCGTTACAACGGAGTGCAGAGTGTCCTTTATGTCCGCCGTCATGGATGACAGGTCAGACCGGGTGGGTAAGTGCCTGATGTACTCGTGCAGGGAGGACTCTCCGGGATCCAGCGTCTCGGCCTGGCGCGTGTGAGGGGCCATCTCCGCCATGTTGTGTGCATGTGAGTCCGGTACCTGTTTGGCCAGCGGGTCTCCCTTCTGTCCAGGAGTCTTCCCAGGAGGGTATTGTTGGCCAATCTTCCCCATGTCTGCGAGAGGAGGGCTGCAGAAGGCGATGCTGGGTGCAGGTGAGCAGGAGCTCCTGAGTTAAGCGGCCATCTCCGTTGCCGCCAAAGCCACGCCCACCAAACCATGCTTTCTAATACTACTAACTTTTTTATTATTATTATATGATCTATGTGCTGCATGACATTTAAAGTATTCTGGCAATATTCCAGGAAATGCTGACACAAAATAACTTCTGAAATGTTATATAATGTACAAATTGTTATACCTTTATTTTCAGTGCATTTTATTAATTTCTTTACGTAGATTAAATTGTGTTTTACACGAGGTTATAGAAGGCCGACAGGTCCAAATGAATGGATTTGGGGCTTCCCTGGCAAAAACACAGAGAATGATTGACGATGTTATCCAGAGAGGAGAGAACTGGCAGATGGAGCCCCATGCACTCAGGTAGAAATACACAGATACAGATGTAAAGGCATGCATACACTCACTGGGGCATAGCGATACTGGCAGGTTAGTGACATTACATTGTCAATCATCCGCAGGTGAGATTGTACAAGAGACTTGTTATCCTACTGATTGACAGTAAACAAATGCACAATAAGTGGAAAGCGCAGATGTACATATGTAACCACAACTTACCCTCTGCAAACTAAAATCCAGCACAGTGCAGCCCAGGAAGCCAGAAGGATGGCACCTACAACGATTGATACTATGGCAGCATGAGGTAGGCGCCCAGAATCTGAGAATACAATGTCTTTAATTAACACTTCAAAGAACAATTCCGGTCTAATTAAAAGAAAAGCTATTTTACAATAAGTAACTGTTAGTAATTAAATGATACCCACCAATGCATCCTAATTGTCTTGTATTAAAACAGCAGCAGATATTTAAAGGCCAACTGCAATTTAACTACTTGAGTACCAGCCTTTAAAAGCCTTTTGTTTCTAGGCCACTTTTCAGCTTTCTGTACTGTGATAGTTTGACTGATAATTACTTTTCATGCACCACTGTACCCAAATTAATTTTATACCATTTTTTGGACACAGAGTTTTCTTTTGGGAGTATTTAATAACCACAGGGTTTTACATTTTTTTTATTACACAGTTTTTTTGGACATGAAGAAACATGCTGGTTTTGGTAGAGTTTAGCCATCGAGCTTGGTTAATGGTGTACTAGATACCGTACATCAGGTCATACATATACCAAGATAGCAAGGATAACTTGCCACAAACTTGTGTCAGGGTTAAATTGTAATTTTGTTAACTTGCTGCACACATTCCTGGCAAGTTGTAGACTTGCAGAACACTTGCAGCACAAGTTCTAGTTGACACTTTTTTAATTTGTAGCAAATTTGCTTGGCAAGTCTACAGCAAGAGTCCTGCAGGTCTTAGCAAGAACTCTGCAAGCTCGCTGGTCTGGAGACTTGCAATGCAGACTTACTGTAATTGTGCAACAAAATTGTGAAGCTTGGCAAGTCTGCAATAGTTTAGCAAGTCATTTTCAAACTTGCAGCACAATTTCTTGCTATCTGGGTAGGGACCAGAAGGTGAAGGGGTTAATGTACAGGTCACATACAGTGAGAGGGTGGAGGGGGTCAATGGACAAATGTGCAGAATAAGGGTGGTAAGGGGTTAATATATAGGTTAAAATGAGAGGCAGGCTGGAGCTTAGCCATGTTGAAGAAAAGAGGAGGGGGATGAGGGGGTAAGCGGGTTAAAAAATGCTGCTTTTGCCTAACCATTCATTCATTTCCCATTCATTATCCCTCTTGTAAGAGGAAGGGAATAACAATGTGAACAGTAGTATGTGATTGGTTATTACAGTGGGGCTCTAGTCTCCTTTTCCCATATCCATTTATATAGCATTAACAAAAACAAAAAGCTATTGTTTACAGAATTAAATAACTCAGGCTGAATGAGTTAGAGGGACAACTTATTTCAGATCAGTCCGATATTTCAATCAGGCATATCCTGCTATAAGGCAGGATGCATCTGCTGTTCTGTCCCATCAGCTAACCCATAGTAGAATTCAGTGTTTTGAAGTTTAACATGGTTCCTAACAAAGAAGTAGTTTTAGTATTTTTGGATTCAGTAGTGTTTAACCAAACTTCTTTTTTCTGATACATTTAAAGAATTGTTTGCTTTACTGTTTACATTTGCCTGAAATGAGAAAACACAATATGACTCCCAGCACATAATTCCCCACTGTGCATCTGTCAGGCACATTATAGGTGCATTTTGGATGCATTGGCAATTGATTGTCATTTGCAGTATGTTTGATAGAGATCCATTGGGTGAAATCACAAGCTCTGACTGCAGGGCAAAACTATAATGTATTGAAAACATATTGTATATTTCTTGTGTGTATTTATGAGGTAAATAAATGCGCTAGAAAACTTTTGTGGAAGATTTACAATGCAGATGTATTAAAACCAAAGAATCAAAGCAGTGTCTATTTATGGTAAAAGAGAACTATAGCCAAACCTTTTTATTGGCTATAGTTCTCTTCTGGGTCACAGGAGGACATTTACTAATGTCCTCCTGTGTCCTGAACGCAGCAAATAGCCGGCTAATGTCCACTATATTCTGAGAGCATAGAGCCACGCTGCAGATGGGAAAGATAATGATAATATTGTTGGAATCCACCACGCTGACTGATTGACAGCTGGCTCTGCCTCTCTAGAACCAGAGCCAGCTGTTCCCGCCCCCTTCTCCTTTCTGTCCCTCCAATGAGTGCTGGTGGAATGGAGAGGGGAGAGAGGAATCCTGCGGGAGTTGTGACTGACAGTCAACGTTCTCTGCAGGTGGAAACTTATTTCTTGAGCTATAGAGCCGGTGTGTGACAGCTACTGTGTCACAAGCTAGCTCGAATTATTCTGAAGAGTACATTTTACTCTACCAATAGTTCTCCATTAAAGCACACCTTTGCAGGGCACCGATAGGTTTACTTCAATGACAGCCCTAACAACTGAAAATAGTCACTTGCCCTTTTCTCCCTTGGATGCTGCTAGCAACCAACAGGAACAAAGAAAAATACCTGGTGACAATAATAAAACTATTTAAACAGAATGGGGAAGTTATAATGAACACAGTGCCACCTTGATTTCAACCTACATTCTCAAGTCAGTGACACAAACAGTCAGATCTATGGTGGGCAGCCACAGAAGGTGACAGAACAAAACCAGATTATGTTTGTGAAGGTTCTCATTCATCCTGGTAATAGTATATCTGTAAAAATAAATCAAAGTAACTGGACTAGAAAATTGAGAAAGCTAGTATAATAACCAGCAAAACGTCCTCAAGGAAAATACAACTCCAGTTGCTTTAATTTATTTTTACAGATACAGCCAGATTAAGGCAGATTAAGACACCATTTGACATAAAGCAAAGAAAGTTAGACTCTTAATGGTTGTGGCTGCTGTAAACCTGTCAATAAACATCATCATTTTGAGCTTTTGCACAGTGAAGGTACTGTAAATGTCTTCCAGATCATCCGACATCATTGTTGCGTCCTGGGGAAACTTTGGGATTTATTTCCAGGATACATATATATTTATATTATTTTTTTTATAATTTTTTTTTCTTCCTTGGTGGAGCCTGGATCTAATTTCTCATGCATCTTCCATCTGCCCGAGCCTCCATACTGACAGGATGTGCTGCAACATAAAGTAAAACATTCTTACCTTGCTCCAGGAAAGAGCTAAGCTGAGCTGTCATTTTTCCCCCTGTACCAGTACCAATAAAATGCTCGGCTTGTGGCCTTGAGTGGAGATACTTCCCCATTTAGACCTTGATCAGAGTAGAACCTGCAGTAAGTGACAGCTGCTGGGCACTATGAGGGGAATATATCAAAACAGGAGCAGACAGGATCTGAAGCCGTTGCCTATTTTAACCAATCAGCTTCTATCTTTCATTTTCAAAGCTTCACTGAGCAAAGTGAAGAGAA